GAGAGAGAGAGAGAGAGAGAGAGAGAGAGAGAGAGAATTTTAAGCAGTCTTGAGCCTGACACAGAGCTTGATCCCACGACCCTGGGATCATGACCTGAGCCAAAATCAAGAGTTGGACACTCAACCGACTGAGCCACCCAGGCCCCCCAGTTTCCCTAACTTCTAACATCTTACATCCCCATGGTGCATTTGCACAATTAATGACCCAATATCAATATATTATTAAAGTCCACACTTAATTCAGATTTCTTTAGTTTCTATGTCTTTTTTCTGTTCCAGGATACCAAATTACATTTAATGGTCATGTCTCTTTAAGCTCCTCTTGGCTGTAACATTACCTGATTGTTTTTTCATTCACTGAAAAAGCATAATATGACAGAAGCAGCTCTTAAAACATATATAAAAACCTATATGACTTCTGCATATACTGGGAATTCAGGATCTGGTGTGTGCTTTAATACAACTTATCATTCTTGAACAACATGGTAACCATTAAAGGAAAGGAAAATGAGTAACTATTTACCTTCCAGAGGATATAATTATTTCATAGGAAAGAAAAAGATATACCATCACTTCAGCTCTCAGAGCTTTGATTCCCTCATCTGGAAAATGGGGATAATAATACTGACCTCATGTTATTGTGATGATTAAAATAATGCTGGGGAACCCTTAGCAGAGTGCTTGGCACACAGCAAGCACTCCATAAGTGGCAGCTCTTAGCTAGTCTTCCAAAGAAAAATTTGCTAAAAACAAAGACAGGACTATTTCTTCTGATGCACAAAATTACTAAGGAATGACTAAAAGTATTTAATTTTTTTCATGTGTTCTATATGGTCTCTCCAAACCAACTGTATCTTCGTATATGAATATAGTCTCTAAGTTTTTTTTTATCTCTCTTCTCCCAACTTCTGAATAACCAAGTTTAAAAAGCGTAATGAATTCTTTTCAAATTTTGCAATGACCTCTGTGCAACATCCAAAGCTGAACCTTGGAGAGAAGCCTGATCAGCATCATCAGTTTGTCTCTCACGAAACCTCAATCCTTCAGATCACTTTCTCTTCAGTTTTATATTACCCCACAAGCTATCACTCTTGACACTCACAAACCGAAGCTTTAAACACACTGTCTTCCTTTTAGGTAAGAAGAAAAAAACAAAACCAAAATACCACTGAGCATTTGAAGGACAGAGACAAAATTTTCAAATGAATGGATACAGCAATTCCAGTTAACTTTCTGAATAAATCATAAATCAAGAAGAACTTATAGTAATTTCTAACAAGCTGTTACACTGAACGAAACTAACTGGTATAAGCTAAAAACGAAGAAAAAAACCAGAGCTGCGTCTTTAAATGAACAAGGAAAGCTAGTATGAAGTACAAATGGAAAAATTCTGCTTACCTCCCAACTGTGGAGCCCTGGTTTTAATAGCTGTCAAACTCCCTCGTAGTCTGTGGTTTACTCCCTATAAAGAAGCAACCAAAAATACATTAGAAATACATTTCCAACCCACTGATAGGGCCACCGGCGATATTAGCGAACCCAGATTTCAAATGATAAAATAAGACCATTCACCCACTTACCACTGGAGAATTGCGAAAACCTTTGATTGCTTGAAAGATACCACCACCTATGGTACCCATCGTAAAGGCCCCACCACAATCATCCACAATTCGCCAAGGGCTAAGAATGGGAAAAAAAAACAAAAATAAAAAGATGACTGTATTTCTCATTCAGAAACCATAAAACTTTCTTTGCTAACATACCAAGGGATACAACAGATTCCAATACAGGGCTTACTTCAACCAATAAAATAAACATGTAGACAAAGATAAAGGATTCTGAACATATTGGTATCTATTCAGCTCCAAGCCATAAGGAATGGAACTGGCTTTAACTCCCTAGTGTTAACAGCACTTAATTTTCACTTAATAATTACTGCATCTAAGTTGGGCGCTGTGCAAAAGTGAATGAGCAAATATTTAGGAAATTACATTATAATCAATGTTGATCCAATCTCCCAGGGACCAAAGTAAGCTCTCCAGCTGCAGTAAAATTTAAAGTTGAGACCCCCCCAAAATGAAGATTCAATAGGGGCAGAGGGAGACAAATTTAAACATTTTTTATTTTTTTTTAATTTTTTTTTTTCAACGTTTATTTATTTTTGGGACAGAGAGAGACAGAGCATGAATGGGGGAGGGGCAGAGAGAGAGGGAGACACAGAATCAGAAACAGGCTCCAGGCTCTGAGCCATCAGCCCAGAGCCCGACGCGGGGCTCGAACTCACGGACCGCGAGATCGTGACCTGGCTGAAGTCGGACGCTTAACCGACTGCGCCACCCAGGCGCCCCTAAACATTTTTTAAAGTATGAAATTCTTTTCGGGTTTACTGAGTCCCAGTTAGCACCTGGAACTTTACTTTGTATCAGGTCCATTTACACACTGGAATACTCTAATCTCCAATAATTAGAGATTAAATTTGTAAACTTAGCTTCCAAATGTAGCAACCTAACTTATACAACACAATGAAATCTGAATAATGTCATCAGTAGAACAAGAACTACTATTCTAGGAATTTGGCTTATAAAAAAGTCTGTGAATGAGTAAATTCATTATATATTTTTTAAGTTTATTTATTTATCCTGTGAGAGAGACAAAATCCCAAGCAGGCTCCACAGTGTCGGTGCGGAGCCCGACACGGGGCTCAAACCAACAAATCACAAGATCATGACCTGAGCTGAAATCAAGAGTTGGACGCTTATCGGACTGAGCCACCCAGGTGCCCCTCACGTGGCACATGTTCCAATTGTCACAAGCAGGATGCTTGGGGGCCTTGCTACCCAAGGTTTGTTTTTGTGATCCTAAAAGCAAATTCAGCAACACCTGGAGTTTGTTAGACCTGCAGGCTCTCAACACTGTACCCAGTATCTACTGATTCAGTCTATGGTTCAACACAATGCCAAGGTGATCTGATTTCACTTTTTTTTAAAAAAAATTTTTTTAACGTTTATTCGTTTGTGAGACAGAGAGAGACAGAGCATGAACAGGGGAGGGTCAGAGAGAGAGGGAGACACAGAATCTGGAACAGGCTTCAGGCTCTGAGCAGTCAGCACAGAGCCCGACGCGGGGCTCGAACCCACATACCGCGAGATCGTGACCTGAGCCGAAGTCGGACGCCCAACCGAATGAGCCACCCAGGCGCCCCAATCTGATTTCACTTTAACAGTTTAAGCAGTGCTTTGAAACTAAAAAGGACTGAGAAAATTTCTTTAGAATGGTAGAAACACTAAGAGGAAGTACAGAGAAAAGATAAAGGAGAATGAATCAGTGGCTCCCTCTGAGTGGTGGGCCAGTAACTTTAAAAGATTTAGTCCAGGGGCGCCTGGATGGCCCAGCTGGTTGAGCATCTGACTTTGGCTCAGGTCATGATCTCACGGTTCATGGGTTCTGTGCTGACACATGGGAGCCTGCTTCAGATTCTGTGTGTGTCTCCCTCTGTCTCTGGCCCTCCCCGCTCATGTTCGTTCTCTCTCTCAAAAATAAATAAAAATTAAAAAAAAAAAGATCTAGTCCAAATGATTTTATTAGTTGAGGATTAAAATAATCAGTAAAGAACAGCAGGATTCAGATCAGAGAGCAGAGTATTTCAAGAGAGGATGTCCAAAACAAAGGCAAGATGGAAATGGTTTCTGGCTAAATCTGGCTAAATTCTGGCTAAATCAAAATGTTCCTGCAGAGAAGTGACAGGCTATACAAAAGGAAGATTGAAGCTAGACTCTAAAAGAATACAAATACTAGGGGTGCCTGGGTGGCTCAGCTGATTAAGCATTGGACTTTGGATTTTGGCTCAGGTCATGATCTCATGGTTCTTGAGTTTGAGCCCCGACTAGCTCCACACTCACAGCACAGAACCAGTTTAGGATTCTCTATGTCCCTTCTCCCAACCCACCCTGTTGCTCGCTCGCTCTCTCTCTCTCTCTCTCAAAAATAAACTTTTTAAAAAATGATAAAAGAATGTAAATACAAATACAGGGAACAAGTAACAACACAATTAAGTTTTCATTTGTTAAGTATTAACTATGTTGTAGGTGACTTCAATGCAAATAAGACCTATGATTTTCAAAAAAGTTAGGTTATTTTCCTGTAGAATCTCTAATCTTAACTTTGAAGAAAAAGTACTCCTGTCTCCTCTTCATTTTACAGGTGAACAGAGTCTCAGACAGAGATTAAGTAAATTTCCCAATGTCATATACGTAACTAGTACAATTTAAATACAAAAATCTAGAACTTCAAAACTCTAAATCGTTTCCATTATATCATACAGACTATGGGTTTTTGAAACGACACCTATGATAAAAGAAGTACTTAGGATGATTAAGTCCATATGATGTATTAAAGTGGGCTGGAGGTAAGGAGAGCAATTAGGAAGGTATTGTAAAAGGCATAAGGATGCCGGTAAGATCGTGACAACAGGAATGGAAAGGCAGATTATGAAAGAATTCAGACTGCTTATGGTATGCCTGTTTGGAGGCTGGGTGGTGTGGAGGGAGGAAAAAGATGCTTATAGTTTGAGGGTGAATGACTTGAGAAAATGCTCTTATCAAACAGGGCAGTACAGAAGATCAGAGTAACTTTTCTTTAATGTTTATTTATTTTTGAGAGAGAGACAGAGCACGGACACGGGAGGGGCAGAGAGAGAAGACGACACAGAATCTGAAACAGGCTCCAGGCTCTGAGCTGTCATCAGAGGCGGACGCAGGGCTTAAACTCGTGAACTGCAAGATCATGACCTGAGTCAAAGTAGGATGCTTAACTGACTGAGCTATCTAGGTGCCCCAGATCAAAGTAGTTTTCACTACAAAACTAACCAGACAACTGACTCTATTGCTTCAGGACATATGTACTCAGAGAAAACAAAGGGACCACCTAATTGATTAGATAAAAATTCATTGTAACATCTTTAACTCAACAAAGTTAAAAAATATATCCAACAGCTGCTGATAACAGCAGTCTACAATGTGCTGAATTCGGCACATGTAAGCATGACTTAGGAAGAAGGATAATTACGTTTGGTAATTTTAAATTTTTTTGAGTTTACTTATTTATTTTGAGAGGGTGAGAGCGTGCAGGAGGGGCAGAAAGAGAGAGCGAGAGAGAGCGAGAGAGAGCGGGAGAGAGGGGGAGAGAGGGGGAGAGAGGGAGGGAGGGAGGGAGAATCCCACACAGGCTCCACAATGTCAGCCTGAGCGGGACACCGGGCTCAATCTCACCAACTGAAAGACCATGACCTGAGCCTAAGTCAAGAGTCAGACGCTTAACCAGCTGAGGCACCCAGGCGCCCCTTGGTAATTTTAAAGAGCCAGGAGGTACTGAAACATCTGCCCTGTATCCTAGTTGAGGGATTAAAAAAAAAAAAAAAGAAAAGGTACAAAGCTGGTAACATGGCTACTGCTGGCAAGATAATAATATAAAGTCCTGGGCACCTTCACAAATTGAGGACACCTTGCCTTTTGCTCTCACACAATTAAACAGTTGATTAACCCAAATAACCAAGATTTGATTTCTCACTTAAGAACCACCCCCTCCCCCAAGCCTTAAAGTTAGGCAACCTGAGACTTCTTACAGCAATTCTGCCGTTTTATGTGCCTGACTTACTCATGCTTTTACTCTTTTGAACCTATAAAGTGGTGAGCACAGAGACCTCATTCAAATACTGAATGAATACGTGAGTTTCTGTTCATGGCTTCTTAAAGAACACATGCTACTATCTCTATTTTCCAGATAATTCTTGTCCCCCTTGTCTACCAAGGGAGAATTCCAAGCACGAATACGAGGCCCTTGCCTAGAGGAGTTTATCCAGACCCTTTGGGTAAAATCTCTGTTCCACACATTTGAAATCCTTAGCCCTGCGGACACATCCCCCGATACAAATAATGCCTCCAGAATGGCACTCCCTCAGAGCCCTACTGTCCCTTCTTCAACACAGGAACTGATCAAAGCGTGGCACGGGGACGCGTCCAAGGTCACCTCAGCGTACAGGGGGGATTATTACTAACCCCGCACAAGGCGACCGCGTCCTGGGCTGGGAGCAGGTTCCGAGGCTCCCACTAGCCCAAGTCTGGACCTCCTCATCCAACGCAAGGTCACCAGAGTGCCAGGTTGGAGGCGGCGAGGCTGTCACATGCCGCCCAGGGAGCACAGGACTGAGAAGCCGACTGGCTGCTCAAGACGGTGCTGTCTACGGTGAACAAACCCACGCCGACAACCCTGCGACTGAGGCCGGCCTGCACCTCAGGGGACTGGGCAGGGGAGAACGAGGACCGTGAGCAGAGGGGCAGGACTAAAAGCAAGGACAGTGGTAAAGCTCACCAAGGCTCTCTCGCGTACTCCTCCATCTTGACTCCACCGGCGCGAGTGATGCCGGGCAAGCTGGGCGGAGCCTGACCCTAGCGGCGGAAGTGATCGCGAGAGCAGGGCGTTAAAGTCTATGTGGATTGGTTCACCGTTTCCTCCCGCAACCAATGGGAGCCTGGACTTCAGGGGCAGCGTGAGGGCGGGGCAGCGGCGCGACGCGGCAGAGCTGGCCCTGCCCGGGTCCCCGAAAGCTGCTAGTCTTGGTTACGTAGACTGGCAGCAACCCAGTGGCGAGGAGTTCGAGTTACCTGGTCATTGAAGGTTCCGAGGACTGAGCTGACCTGGCATTATTCCTTTAGGGTTCACCAAACTTCCTAAAAATATGTTTCTTTTTTCCTTTTTTTTTTTTTGTACTTTGGTTGCCAACTTGGGAATCAATGCTGGCTAATTCGCCATGGTGTGTGAAGCTTTTACAAACTACACGTAGCAGGAGCAGGATTCGGGCAGAGAGTGTCACAGTCCCTTATAGTCACAGTGCTTGGAATGTGATAGATGTTCGATAAATGTTTTTGAAATGAACTTATCTGGGCCATCGTGAACTCTCCGACCGATTTGGGGCCCTCGATTTGAAGGGATAACGACAACAGAGCCTCTTCCGGGCCACCTTCCAAAAGATCACCAGAAGATGAGGGGTGTTTAGCCCAGAAAAGAGGAGCCCAAAAGCATGGGGACCCATCGACCTCTTTTAGCTTACAGTTAACAAAACCTCAGTCATAGGATGTCTGTTAAAGGAGCTCTTCTCCATTCCCGACTTTTTTTGGAATGTGTGACTGTAATTAAGAACCTTTAAATCTAATTGTGCAGACTGAAGAGAGAAGGTAGGAGATGGACAACAAGAGGAAGACAGAGAGCAAGAATTTAACATTTAGTCAGTACCTCAGACCTGATGGGTATGAATATTTCAGTAACTAAAGATGTGCATTCTCATGGGGCAAAGATTTTTTTTTTCCCCTGATCTCACCAAGACCCAAGTGAAATATTCCTTAGTTCTAGTTACCTCCCTTTGTTCTTATTACATATTCCTTATGCAGTCTTCTGAGTGTTATTTGGTTTCTGAATAGATTTTCCTTTAAGAGAGAATCCCCTGGCCTGTGCTCACAACTGTTCTCGTCCACTTGATAGTTATATTGGTTTATGCATCTGCCTCTTGTGAGCTGGGTTCTTTTGAATCAAATCAATCAGCAGGAATGGTGATGATACTGAGTATGTGAGTTTACAGGCCGAGGGCCAGACTTGAGGCTGTGGTTACCCAGCTCACTTCATTCCAACAGTCCCTACCCGAAAGTCCCTTACTGTTCTGGGAGGCACCGCTCGGATGGACAGCGTGTGTTGTCAGACTTCTCACTCTTTTCTTTCTTTTCACTTCAACAGATAACAGGGTGTAAGAGGACAGTTTTGGCTGGGCAAGGCCTTGGACTTAGCCTTGGCTAGAGGGGGAAGATGTCACCCCTCCCTCAAAAATACCCATTTCCATCTGAGTGAAGAAACGTCCTGGAAGAGAACTAGGTATCCTAATCTCCTCCTAGTGAGTCCGAAAGAAGTCTGAAGACCTGCCGTGGCCCTCACTGAAAGGATGGCCAAAGACATTGAGGAATGATAGAAGAAAGGAATGGGGGTCCTTGAGAGCAGAGTCACAGTAAAGGTGAGGGGCGTTTGAGCTGGTGATCCGACACAGCAGGGTGTACTGGTGACAGTGCTCTGGGCCCCGCCAGAGACTGCTGCTGAAACCCCTGTGATCCAGGTCCTCTGGGTATTGCTTTGGGGAAAACAGCTCCGTGTATGAACTAAAAGAACTGTGACTCAGGGGCCTGTTTTGCCGTGAGATTTCCCCACAAGGGGCAAGGAAGGGGAGACCAAGGTGAGGAACAAGGTGAAGAAAGGGAGATCATCCCTCGTGCCTCAGGGAGCCACCTGGATAGGTGAGCCCTATCAAGTAGCCACGTCTGGCAGTGACACGGCTCTGAGGTAATTATCCACCCCTGCCACCTCCCACAATTCGCTTTTATTCATCTTCCACTCTTGTACAATTAGACCATTCTTGGGGGGAGGGGTCACTGAGAGAGCTAAGATTGGGGAAAGATGAGCATTGAATAGATATCAAGGGTGCATAGGCAATGCTGAACCAAGAGAGAAACTAGAGGGATGATAACCCCAGTCAACTATAAGACCCTTACTCGGTGCTCAGGATTGTCCTTAGTGTTAGGATTAGGGTAGAGCGAGTACATAAAATATTGATATGGTTGCTACTCTCAGGGTCCTCAAAATGTACGTGGGAAGAAAGAACACACTCTTGAGAAATAGCTGGGTCAAAATGATAAAATGCCAAAATGGGTGACATAGAATATGGTAAGTGCTAGAGGAAGTGAGAGGAGAGAGGGAGCCCTGGAGGCCTGAAGGTGATCACAAAATGTGCTTGACAATCTGGCACGTAAGCTACAGCCTGAAGTATGGTCAGAGCTTGATCAGTGGAGAGGAGAAAGCCAGGCAGAGGGAATGACAGCAACAAAGGTGTGGGCAGGAAGGAACATGGTGGTGTCACTGGATGGGTTGCTGGTCCCATGGAGTAGAGAGACTAAGGCAGGGGGCACCTGGGTGGTTCAGTCGGTTAAACGGCCAACCTTGGCTCAGGTCATGATCTCATGGTTCGTGAGTTCAAGCTCTGCATTGGGCTCTCTGCTGTCAGCAAAGAGCCTGCTTCAGATCCTCTGTATCTCTCTCTACCCTCCTCCCCTGCTCATGCTTTTCTCTCTCTCTCTCTCTCTCTCTCTCTCTCTCTCTCTCTCAAAAATAAACATTAAAAAAAAGACTAAAGCAGCAAGAGCAAAGCTATATCAAATGATAAAGTTCTAGGGTAGTAGACGTGGACAATGACTTGAGAAGCAAGACTGGAGAAGTAAGCTGTGTCAGGAGATGGTTATCTATATAGAAACTCTCATGTGTGTCCACATCCAAGTATTAAGAACTAAATTCTTTCAGGATGCCAGGGTGGCTCAGTCGGTTAAGCGTCCGACTTTGGCTCAGGTCATGATCTCACTGCTCGTGGATTTGAGCCCCACATCGGCCTCTGTGCTGACAGCTCAGAGCCTGCAGTCTGCTTCAGATTCTGTGTCTTCTCTCTCTGAGGCCCCTTCCCCACTTACGCTCTCTCTCTCTCTCTCTCTCTCTCAAAAATTAATAAACATTAAAAATTTTTTTTTAAAAAAGAACTAAATTCTTCCAGATTCTCTTTTCATGTTTGTAGAAGCCAATGTCCTTAGAAAGTTAGAGACAGGACTTTCTCTGGAGCAGATTTAATTATGGGAAAGTAAAGGCAGAGATGTCTCCCTTCCCTCCTTGGACCAGATTTGTTTCCCTTCCAGGGTAAAAAAAAAAAAAAAAAAAAAAAGACTTATTAAAGTTTTATCTCCTGGGGCACCTGGGTGGTCAATTGGTTGAGTGTCTGACTTTGGCTCAGGTCAGGATCTCGAGGTTCGTGAGTTCAGGCCCTGCGACGGGCTCTGTGCTGACACCTCAGAGCCTGGGGCCTACTTCAGATTCTGTGCCTTCCTTTTTCTCTGCCCCTCTCCCACTCACGCTCTGTCTCTCTCTCTCTCTCTCTCTCTCTTTCTCAGAAATCAATAAACATTGAAAAAAATGTTTAAGTTTTATCTCCTTTATTAATATAGCTAAAGGAGTTCATTCTAGAAGGATACAATGAGGTCATAGGGTAAGCAGCAGGCCTGAAATAGCTTCTGTGGGGAGTGCACAAGAGAATAAACCACAAATGAGTAAAGGAACCAAGAATGCTTGTTTCCACACAGACCCAACTTATGGAGGAAGGGGGATGGACATTTTCAGACTCTTCCCGTCCCGGCCACTCAGTACCTTCAAGGTTCCTGGACCTACATAGGTCGAGCTCCACTGAGCCAGAGGCTGTGGGAGTCCTAAAGAGTTTGGTCTGCCCAGGGGAGACAGCCCATGTCTCCAAACCCCCTAGCCTTGCCTGATCCAGTCACTGGGAAACTCAAATCGGCATGGACAAGTGAGGCTTGCACCACAGCTGACTCTCGGGTTTGGGGTTGCTGTCTGTGACTGGCTCCTCTTTGGTGGGCAGAGAGGTTTTAGTCAGGGTGAGGGTGGGGGAGGCAGTCTTCTTCCCTTTCTGCCCCTTTTGCTCCCCCTTGCTCTCCTTCCAGGAAGACATTAGTCTGGCCTGTGCGGTCTCAGAGCTCCCCTCTACCCACTACCACTCACCTCAGGAGTGCCGGGACAGGCCAGTGGCCTGCTTCTAGAGACAAAATCTGCTGCTTTAGAGAAACTTCCAGCTTCCCCCCACCAGAGAAGAGAACCAACGTGATTATATATTGACTCACAATATATTGAGTGCGGACAATGTGTCTGATGCTATGTTATGCCCTTGGAGTACATTATCTTCTAAAAAAAAATTTTTTTTTATTTTATATTTGAGAGAGAGAGAGAGATGGAGACAGAATCCGAAGCAGGCTCCAGGCTGTCAGCACAGAGTCCAACGTAGGGTTCAAACCTACGAGCAGTGAGATCATGACCTGAGCCGAAGTCAGATGCCCAACCAACTGAGCCACCCAGGTGCCCCATGCGTTATCTTATTTAATCTATTTAATAATTCCATAACCCTCTGCAGTAGCTACTTTTTTTTCTTTAGGTGGGTACTTTTAATGTCCTCATTTTCCATCTAAGGCTGAGAGAGGTTAAAAACTTACTCAAGGTCACACATCTTAGATCTGAGCCCAGGTCATTTGACTCCAGAGCCTGTGGTCTTATCTGCTATACTATACTGCCTGTCACTGTATGTTCCTGAAAATGTGACTTTAGTGGGGTCATCCAGTCTAGTTAAAGAACCACCCTAAGCATTAGTTAAATTGGTTCTGGTTCCCTATTCCCACCACCACCACATATTTGGCTAGAGCTTGAGGTCTCTCTTTCTTCCTTTCTCTCCCCCTGGTTCCAGCATAACAGCAAATGTTTCTCTGGGGAGTAGGCTGTGTCAGAATCCCATGACACTCAAGGTGTGTTTGTTTCAGGTGGAAGTGGATTCTGAGCTTGGATAATTCTTGCCCCCTACAGAGTAAGTGGGCAGCGGTCCTTCACTGCAGGCGCTGGAGGAGACTGGACTCCTGGGCTCTGGGTTCCCAAGTCTTCCAGATCCCTCTGTGATACTTTTCAAGGGAAGCTTTTCAGAGTCTGTGAGCCCACAGTCCCTGGGACTCTAGGGAGCAAAAAATCTCAGACTGGATCATATCAGAAGAGCCAGCTGTTTGGAATTGTGGGACCCGAGGCAGAGAAGGTGCAGGGGTTTATGTGCAGAAACTTTGGTTAGGAGGCCAGGAGTCCTGACTTAAATTTTGGAAGCTGTGGATCTATTTTTTGAGTGTGTTCCTCAAGCAGAGACCACTGGACCCAGAGGGAAGGTCACCGAAACCAGATGGTACAAAGGCTACCCCTGGGGCTGAAGGTGGTTTTTGATTCAGGCCCTGGCTGCTCTTTGGGAGAAGTGAACATTATTGGCCAAAAGCCTAAGAAAGAAGAATCGTTGGAGGCTGGAAAGAGAGCTGCTTTTAGTGGACTGGGGCCTGGGAGACTAGAAGTTGGCCAAGGTGGCTCCAGAGCCAGGGATCCCAGAAGACGATGCCTCTTCCAGAAAGCCCCTGCTGGGCAAGAGTGAGAGTGAAGACTGAGTGACCCAAGGCGAGACAGGAGTAGGGGTGGGTTGGGCTAGGGACTCGCTGGCAGGTGCAGGAAGTATGGAAAGCCCACCTCAGGCTAGCTCAAGTCCTTTGTTATGCCCTCTGGGATGCCCCCGACTCCTCCCTGCTAAATTGCTGCAGCTTCTGTTGGGCTCTTAACAATTGCTTCCACCTGTCTTGCTTCACTTTGCCTTACAGTATAATTGGTTTTTGCCCTATAAATCATACATTTTAAAGAGAATAACCATGTTGTAATTATTTTTGTATCTCTTACCCTGTAGTGCCTGACATGCTATCTATACATAGCAGTATCTGAATAATGCTTGAATGAATGAATGAATGGGGACCAGATGAGAAGGGGTGTGTGTGTGTGTGTGTGTGTGTGTGCGCGCATGCGCGCGCGCGTTTGTGCGCGTGTGCACACACGCACGCACTCTGAGAGTGGTTACTGCTGAGGAAAGAAAGAAAAAGATAAGAGAAGAGGTGGGATGGGGAGAAAAGAACCCAGGAAGCAAGTAAATAAATAATTGTAAATGACTATGTAACAGTTGTAATAACTGCTCATGATTACTATGCATTTACTATATATCAATATAGCACCTGTTCTATGTGTATGTTTGGATCCGATGTTCGCAACAGTCTTACAATGTTGTCCTTATTTTACAGATGATGAAGCTGACCCTCAGTCACTTGACCAGTAAGTAGCAACTCCAGGACCTAACATGCATGGTCCTTTGGCCGGGAGAGCCCAAGCTTGATCGATGAAGCCATCCTGCTCTGCGGCCTCCCCTGTGGCGTTTCCTTATGGCCCCTGTACTTCTCTTTTGAGGCATTTTGTAGGCTTTTAATTGTTTAATGAATTACTTGAAATTATTTCCTTATTAATTCTCTTCACTGATAGAAAGTAAGCTATAAGAAGGCAGGGCCCACACTGAGTTTCTTTTTTATTTTCTTTCTTCTTCTTCTTCTTCTTTTTTTTTTTTTTAAGTTAGGCTCCACACCCAACATGGGCCTTGAACTCACAACCCTGAGACCAAGAGTCAGATGCTCCACCCACTGAGCCAGACAGGCGCCCCTGATTTTCTATCCTTAGTTACATGCCTTGCCCTTAGAACCATGCCTGACACATAGTAAGCACTCGATAAATACATGCTTACTGGCTCACCGACAGACTGACTACTGCCTCCTAAAAATGACAACCCCCAGGATTCTCTAAGCCTTTCTTCCACCCTTCCTCTCAGGTCTCCCTGCCTCACCTCTGCACTCCAGTCCCGCCAGTCAGCACCATCCCCTGCTCAGCCTTAACCTAAAGCCGGACTAGTGGATGTTAAATGCCAGGGCCAAGTTTTTGTCCCAGACGATCCCTGGACTCAGCAGTTGCTGATCAGGTGACGGTCTCTCTCTGGCTTAGGATGGAAAGACGCCAGGAAAGATCGAAGCATCTACCCTGATGGGTTACACCAGGGCTTCTAGAAGGGATTTTGTGGCAGGAGGGAGGGGGGCAGGAGATTGAGTGTCTCTGTGACTTGTGCAGGCAGCATGATGGATGAGCAGTGGAAAGCCCTTTTACGAAACATGCCAGACTTGCTGCCATAGTATCCCTCCCAACAGCCCAGAATTATATTTCCCCGAAGACACACTCGGTCGTGCTCTGGATTTATACATGGGGTGGCAACCTGCCGGTGTTCCCAAAGGAGATCTGTCTACAGATGCCCCAGCAGCGGAGGAAGCAGATGAGAAGGGAGGGAGGTCTGAACCCTTTCGCTAAGAGCCATGGCACTTCATGGAAATTGACGGTTCTTCAAGAGTTTCCTGACTTCCGCGGGTCCCACTGTCTTCCCCAAACAGCCTGCAAGTTTTCAGTTTGGGTACACAGTGAAGATTTATTCTCTCTCCCTCTCTCTCTGTCTCTCAAGAAGTGGCTGGGGCCTCTGATGCTCAGCACTAGGGTTCTCCTTCCCAGAGAGAACGGGTGGGCAGGTAGTTCAGATGATCTGGAATCACGTATCTTTCCTGGGGCTGTAAACTACTGGAAGTCCCCCAGCACATTACCAAATACAGTAGAAAGGAGTCAGTGGACCACGTACCAACAACGGCAACACCCACCCCGGGTGGAGAAGTCAGATATGTGCTTGAACAGGACGTGCCTGGGGCTGGCCTGTTCCTGAACCCCCATGGCCCCATCCCTGCTTTTCTGGCCCTCCCGTGGCTCTGATCAGCTTCTGCCAGGCTCTGCATTTTTGTATCTTTTTCTCATTGCGTGGCCCCCTTGTCTTTAAAAGGCTAAATGCTCTGTACTAAATTTGGTCACACAGAGCTCCAAGATTCCCTGGAATGTCCTCAAGTTTCAAACAGCTCTGACAGCGAGGCAGGCCCGCCCCCCCTGTGTGGGGATTGGCTTCCCCTTTCGGGGCCAGGCCGTTGTCAAGTCTCATTGGCCGCTGGTTAGACCAGCCAGGGTCCACTAGCCCTGGGCTCGGAGCTAGCTTGCAGTTAACGCTTCGGCACCTGTGGCACCGCAGGGCAGGGCGGAGGAGCCACCGCGTCCTCGACCAGCTGGGAGTCTGCTCTCAAGCCCACTCTGCTCCGTCTAGGTCAGCTCCGCGCCTCCCCCTCGTCGCCCACCAGGACTCCAGCAGCCCCTGCAAGAGTCCCAGCGCACCTTGCCAGGATGTCTAAGGTAGCCAAGTATCGCCGGCAGGTGAGTGAAGACCCCGACATCGACAGCCTGCTGTCCACCCTGTCTCCCGAGGAGATGGAGGAGCTGGAGAAGGAGCTGGACGTGGCGGACCCGGACGGGAGCACCCCCGTGGGGCTGCGGCAGAGAAACCAGACGGAGAAGCGGTCCACGGGCATGTACAACCGGGAGGCCATGCTCAGCTTCTGTGAAAAGGAGACCAAGAAACTTATTCAGAGGGAGATGTCCGTGGATGTGAGTGAACCATATGCTAGAGGAAAGGGGGGAGGGGGGGGAGGGGAGGGGCGGGAGACCCTAACTCGCGCCTCGGATGCTTCTCTCCTTAGAGCAGAAGGTCTTGTTGGCCAAAGATGTGATGCTTCAGAACCAATTACCATCCGCTGAACTGGCAGCCGTGAACCTCTTACCCCTCGTTTCGGTTTAAAGCACAAATTGGCCATGTTAGCAGAACTCACCATCCCACAACAGCAGATAGGGCCACTAGGACAATGGGAGCTGGAGAACGTCCTTGAAGCGTTCATTGTCGAGATGACACCCTCTTTGTCCCTGAGCACTTTTTTTTCCTTCACATTCATTTCCTCCGTTGTGAGGATGGGCAGAGGATAGACTGATGCTCGCGGTCTCTTGGCAGCCACCCCAGGGAAGCAAGTCAGGCCCTCCTTGCAGAACTGCTGGTTTTTAAGCCCTCTGGGCGACTCGTGGCACATGGACCATTTGAGGAGGCAGGGGCAGATGGGCCTCCCACATCGATGGGAGACAGGGGTGGGGGTGGGGTCTGTGAGGTGGGAAATGCATCTTAACCTGATGGCTTCCGTTGGGCTCCCAGGGGAGTTGGGGTTTGCACTTCCTAGAGGGGCATCTTGGAGGAGGGGGGGTCCCCTCCTTTTGGTAGTAAGCCCTTTTACAACCAGCCAGGCCCCTTTGGGGGAGGACAAGGATATTTCCCAGCATGGTTTTGCCATGAGGAGGGGACAGAGGGGAAGCATCTGCCCACACCCAGGACGGGCTTAAGCAAAACCTGCTTCCTCTTTTCCTGGGTTGGCGTGGAGAGTTCTTTTTTCACCATGTGTTCATATGTGAGTTTTCTTGGGACAAACTAGACTGGCCTCCACCTGAGCGTGGCTCTGTAGAACCCCCGGCCGCGGCAGAGAGTGTCTGGTGGGGAAACGGTCCTGTCTCTGCGCCCATTCTCTTCTACTCGGTACCTGCTGGCCACGTCTCTGGTACCTTGTCCGTGACTTGCGGATGCTCGCATGAAAAAGTTCAATCTTAATTCTCGTGCGCTGTTTTGCGTCTGTGGAAACCAAGGCCCAGAGCCTCAAACGCCATGTTCATTCTCGCAAAGGAAACGAGAAAGGCAGTATCATCTCCTGGAACTCCTGGAACATGTCTGGCTGGGTAGGAGATTGTGCCGGACGCTAGTCGCAGAGCACGTTTGTGGGCACAGCCCTGGCTCCTTGAGTGAAGGGATGGGGGTGGGAGGGATAAGGGAGAGTGAGGTAGGGGAGCTGGACCTCTGCCTCTATCTCTACCACCCGGACCCGTGTTGAAGCCTTCACCAAGAAGTTGGGAGTGAGGGAGTCAGAAGGCTCAGAAATTCACTACTCCGTGGGCAAGGTGATAGCCTCGGATACCACTCGGTTGATGATGAACGTACACTAGAATGCTTATGGAAAACAAGGAAAGGATAGAGGGGACTCCCCGTGAGGGCCTGGTACCTCAAGACGCCTATCAGGACATGTAGGGAAAGCCAGGCAGTGCACCCCAGGCTTTGGCACCTCTGTAAATCCCCCACGTGGACCCCCAACCCTTCTCTCCCCCTGCTCCTAGTCACCAGGCTCTGTGCCCAGTGGCTTCTGGGATGCAGAAAGATACTCCTGAGGCTGAAGTCAAATGCAGAACATTCTTAATCCCAAAGCGAGATGCTTAGGCTATGGAGAGTGCGAGGGACTCTTATACTCTGGGAAATTTCATTCTCAAAAGCCTTCTTCCTCAGCCAACTGAAACCATGGCACGCTTCTCTTCCCCAGCCCTACCTCCTTCACCCCTGCCAGGGGCACACTTGTTTCTGCAGGCAGAGCCCCAGTCAGGAAACAGAGGGTGGCGTGCGTGCGTGTGTGTGGTGTGCAGACACACTCACACAGGTGTACGTGAGACGGTATGAGCTGACTTCAGGGTCATTTTTCCCTTGTAGGGATAGGCTGTCCTCACTCTTCCTCATCCAGTCCAAGGGCATATGTTGGCAGAGTGGCTGGCTGGAGTTCAGGGTACATCCCGAGCCATGGGCATAAGTCATCTCTGTAAATCTGGATGAAAAAGTGGCTTCTTTTAGGGGCGCCTGGGTGGCTCAGTCGGTTAAGCATCCAACTCTTGATTTCAGCTCAGGTCATAATCTCATGGTTTGTGAGATCGAGGCCCGTGTCAGGCTCTGTGCTGACGAGACTGCTTGGGATTCTCTGTCTCCCTCTCTCTGCCCCTCTCCCCACTCGTGCTCTCTCTCCCTCTCAAAATAAGTAAATAAGCTTTAAAAAAGTGGCTTCTTGGGGCGCCTGGGTGGCTTGGTCGGTTGAGCGTCCGACTTCGGCTCAGGTCATGATCTCACGGTCCGTGAGTTCGAGCCCCGCGTCGGGCTCTGTGCTGACAGCTCAGAGCCTGGAGCCTGTTTCCGATTCTGTGTCTCCCTCTCTCTCTGCCCCTCCCCTGTTCATGCTCTGTCTCTCTCTGTCTAAAAAATAAATACGCGTTAAAAAAAATAATAATAATAAAAAAATTAAAAAAAAAAAGTGGCTTCTTTGGCACCATTAGGAAGCTAGTGAGTGTGTGATTAAGAACTTGGATTTAAGTGCCAGAAAAGCCTGGTTTGAGTAGCAGCCTCTCTTCCTGTCTGTATAACTAAGTAACTTACAAGTGACAGAACCTGTCTCACTTCCCTCAGCTACAAAATATCCAGCCCATAGGATTGTTGTGAAAACGGAAAGGATGATAATGTAAAGCACTTAGCACAGAGCTTGGCGTGTAATAAATGCTCAATAAATGGCGCTATGAAGTTATTAATTCATTAATTTCTACCCCTGCCCAGCTCCTCCCTCCTTTAGTTCCTGGAGGGCTGAGCAAGCCAAGTGTGTCTGTTTAACTAGTGGCCAGAGTAGACAATAAACAAACATACCTTCGATGCTCAGACTGGGGGGCCTTTGATATCACAAACACAGGGCAGCTCCAGGTGGGGCTCCCGGCTGCTGGACTGGCTGTGGCTCTCACTGAGAGTGGCCTTTGCTCCCCGTAAGGCACTAGAAGTTAGTTAAAACAAAAGAGTAACTGTGAGCCTGTTTTGCTTGACTCAAGAAAGCACTGCAAAATGAGCATTTACTGAGAAACTTCTACATGCTAAGCATATTCACCCTTTCTTTTATTTAAACTTCCCACTTCTTGGGAGATAGGTCTTTTTATTCCCATTATACAGAGCAGAAAAATTGAGGCTCAGAGAGGTTGAATAACCGCCCTGCGTTCACATAAGCAACAAGTAGCCTGCCCAGCTTTAAGGACTAAGCTTCTTCCTCCCTGCCACACCAGGGTACAGAAAAAGGCAGTCATGCCAGCCCCTGTCCTGAAGAATTTATAATCTAATTAGGATCACAAGACACACACATACAGAAGCACCACAGAGGTGTTACAGAGCACCGACCACATATTCATACGTTGTCGTAGAAGCACTGGGCTATCACCTAGTCTAGTCTGGCAGAATGTTCATCCCTGCCCCCAAGACTAGGAACATAAATATTAACACCAAGTGTGGATTCGGGATTCAAACTGTTAGAACCAAGTGTGGATTAGGGAAGTTAATCCTGCCCAGATATTGGATGGCATTAGGAATTTTTTGTTACCTCCTTTTAGGTGGGATAATGGTATTGTGGATGCACTTTTTAAAGAACCCTTGCCTTTTAGACATGGATACTGAAATATTTACGGGAAAAACTGATAAGATATGAGGGAATTGGCTTTAAAATAATGTGGGCAAGGGGAGTGTGTCGGGGAATAGATGAAATGAGATCATCCACCAGTTGATAATTGTTGAAGCTGGGTGATGTGAAGCTGAGAGTGGAAGGCAGGCCCAGTTTGGGTCTTCAGCTCTGGTTTCTCTGGGGGAGGAGCTCCAAGATTCATACTCTGGCTATCGTGCTGGAGGGGTGTAGACTGTGGAAGGGGCCTCAGATGGCTTCTCCCTCATGGGATGGAATACTCGGGGGCTGTCCTGGATTGGTTTACTCCCTCCTTCATGAATACTCCTCTCCCCAGGCCACCCCCGTGACCCCTTCGGGTCTCAGGTACCACTTCCTCCAGGTAGCCTTCCCTGACTGCCAGGCAAATTTAGGCACCATGTCTGATCTGAGCACTCCAGTACCGCTCTGTACCGGCCCCATCCTGTTTTCTTATATCTCTTCCTCGCCAGCTTGTGTGATTCTGGAGGACGAGCGCTAACACAGGGCCAGGCACAAGGTGGGCCCTCAACCTCTGTCTGTTGAATGAAGGTTCGGAGCAGGAGGTGGGGCTTGGCAGAGCTGACCCCTGGCTTCCCTCCTTCCCTTTAAAGGGGCAGACCTCTCAGCCCGTGTGTTCTGCCCCAGTCCTCCAGGGACTCTCCTTCTGCCCAGGTGGAAGACAAAGCCCCTGGGCAGGTGTGTAGCCAACAGTTCAGTGAAACCCTTGTGCTTGGCTCAGGTTTCAGGAACCTGATCCCAGCAGGTCAACTCATGTGTTCTCTTTCCTTCCCAAGTGGGAAAGAAAATCTCCAGCCTGTCTCCCCTGTCCTTCTCCCTGGCGTTACCAGGGGCTGGGGATTAGCACCTGCACCCAGCCAGGAGCAGGGGCAGCTGACTTGGGTGGGGGGTGAAGGAAGCTCTTTCAGGTTCTCCCTTGAGAAGCTAACCAGAAGCACCCCACTAGCCAGTCGCTGCTGGGCCTGAGCCTCCTGACCTCCCCCTTGGGTCTCTGGCTCACACAGCCTCGCTGTTCCCCTCCCCTACCAGTCCCAGTTCACGACCCAGTGTCCATGGCTTCTCTACAGGGATGGGGATGCCCAAGGCCGGTGGCACTAACCCTCAGATTGCCCTTTGCAGAGGCCTGGGCCCTATCAGGAGTGCACTGGGCAGCACGGCTCCACGATTAAGGAGATTAACCCCGACTGGTACACACCCAAAATAGCCCTGGAGGCTGGGGGGTGGAGAGGGCAGAAGAGG